TAATAAAAAGCTAATATGCAATTGGTTGTCATGCCCTCACGCCATCTTGCTGTAACGGCTCAGACCCTCAACACTGCGGGGAGCGGAATGGGGACCAGCCAGGCACAAATGAGCTTGCAAGAGAGGAATGGGGACCAGCCAGGCACAAATGAGCTACACGCCCCACGCTCCCTGTGGTCCTGGGTGCCAGTGGGGAGAGGGACAAGCCGCCCACCCTACGGTCCCGGGTGCCAGTGGCTGCTCCTGCGGCCCATCCCGGGCGCCAGCGACTGCACCTGCGCCTGCGGCCTGGGAGAGGGACAATCCACACGCCCCACGCTCCCTGTGGTCCTGGGTGCCAGTGGCTGCGCCTGTGGCCCCGGGCGAAGCCGCCCGCCCATGGTCCCCTGTGTCTGCGGCTGGCCCAAGCGAAGCCGGCCTGGGTCCTGGGTGCCTGCGGCCGGCCAGAGAGAGGGAAGCCTGGGTCCTGAGTGCCTGTGACCAGCCGGAGGAGGGAATCCTGTGTCCCAGGTGCGGGGCAAGGCAGAGGTGGTTAGGTGTGATCAGGCCAGCAGGGGAGCAGTTAGGGTGATCAGGCCAGTAGGGGAGCAGTTAGGGGTGATCAGGCAGGCAGGCAGAAGTGGTTAGGGGTGATCAGGCAGGCAGAGGTGGTTAGGGGCGATCAGGCAGGCAGGTGAGCGGTTAGGAGCCAGTGGTCCCGGATTGTGAGAGGCAGTCAGACATCCCCCGAGGGGTCCTGGGTTGGAGAGGGTGCAGGCCAGACTGAGGGAACCCCCCCCATGCACAAATTTCGTGCACTGGGCCTCTAGTGTGTATGTATGTGTGTGTGTGTATATATGTATATACACACATATATCTTCTTTCCATTATGCATCTCCTCCCCCAATTATTCTCATCTTTAAAAGTCTTGTTTTAAAATGGTTATCTATTCCGATAAAATTATTTGTTTGTCCCAATTCTAACATTAGTATATATCATTTTCTTTTCTTTTTAAAAAAATATATTTTATTGATTTTTTACAGAGAGGAAGGGAGAGGGGTAGAGAATTAGAAACATTGGTGAGAGAGAAACATTGATCAGCTGCCTCCTGCACACCCCCTACTGGGGATGTGCCTGCAACCAAGGTACATGCCCTTGACCGGAATCGAACCTGGGACCCTTCAGTCCGCAGGCTGACGCTCTATCCATTGAGCCAAACTGGTCAGGGCAGTATATATCATTTTCATACTAATAACAAGAGAATCTGTGTTAAGCACAGCCACAGTCAGTTCTTGTCTGCTCAATCAGAGGCTGATAAAGTCAGTGAAAGCTGCAGAAAGTTTTAGGTTTCTTTTGGCAGTCTCTCCACTAGGTGGAAAGGATAGGACAGTGGTTTATAGAAGCTGTAAACTAGAGGGGAGTTCTCAAATTTCAAGGTGTTTAAGAATCACCCTAGGACACTCCAAGACTTAAACAAATCTTGAACATTAAGTAATTTATTTAATTTTGGAATTTTCAGTGCAAAGATTTCACTGTATTATAAACAGTCCATCTATTATTGTATTACCATGATTGTTTTAATGTTCTAAATTCTATTGAGCCAAAATATGTATCTTACTATAACTTTTATTTATTGGTCCTGGTTGAATTTTCCAAAGCCACATAGAGCAGGCAACTGTAGTATGGTAATTTGTGTTAAAATGTAAAAATTAGAAACAACCTAAATATCCATCAATGAATGACTGGATAAATAAAATTGTGTGTGTGTCTGTGTGCGTATGCACATACATATATACATACTAGTAGACCCACACAATGAAATATTATTTAGCCATAAAAAAGAAGGAAATCTTGCCGTTTGTGACAACATGGATGGATCTGGAGGGCATTATGCTAAGTGACATAAGATAGAGACAAATACCTTTTGATCTCATTTATATGTGGAATCTTAAAAAAAACTATCAAGCAATTGAGCTCAAAGATATAGAGAACAGATTGTTAGTTGCCAGAGACAAGGTGGGGATGGGCAAAATAGGTGAAGGGGGGAGGGGGAGGTAAAAAGATACAAACTTCCAGTTATAAGTCATGGAGTTATAATGTATAGCATGGTGACTATAGTTAATAATACTGTATAGTATATTTGAAAGTTACTAAAAGAGTAGATTTAAAAAGTTCTCATCATAGAAAAAATGTTGTAACTACATGGGGATAGATTTACTATACTTATTGTGGTGATCATTTAGCAATATATACAAATATCGAATTATTATGTTATATACATGAAACTAACAATGTTTTATGTCAATTATACTTCAATAAAAAATAAATAAAAGAAATAACCCTTAACTTTCACAGAGATGTTTTAAAATTTAGTCTACTCCTAACTGGTGAAATTTCATCCACCAAGGGAGAAGGATATACAGCTTTGCTCTGCCAGACATTGTTTTTTATTCTGCCCCAAAGTAGCTTTCTTCCTGTTCTTCTGACTTGTCTGATTGTTTTCCTTCATCTCTGCCCTTCTGTTTTTCTCACTACCTAAGGTTTTCCCTAGGGTCTGCCAGAGCAGACACAGTTTCAGTGTTGTCAAGAGAAAACCTCATCTTACTGTGGTACATTCAGTTGTACTAGAGTGGCCACTTTTCCCCTATAGATAGGTTCACTTTCCTTCCAATCTGTAGTTTTTGATGAGTGTAAAATAAGATGATGTACTTAGAAGTGACCATTGAGGCAGAAAGATACTCCTTCTTGCATCTCAGATTTCCCTTCTGGTATCATTGTTCCTATTCCTAAATTAGAAGTTTTTTGTGAGGGTCTATTGGTAGTAACTTTTTCAATATTTATCACCTTGGTTCTCAAATGTAATTTATGGGATTTAGAAATCTACGTTGACACTTTTTCTCTCATCAGCTTGGCATTCTGTGTGGGCTTCCATTTTTGCTGTTGAGAAATTAGCTCTCAGTCTTAGTAACTTTTTTTTATGTAGATTTGTGTCTTTTTTCTCTTGCTGTTTTTAGGATCTCTTGTTTTTAGGATTTGCTCTTTCACAATGAACTATCTAGTGTTATTTTTTCGTAATTTGGCTGGGTTTTGAAGTTTTGACTTTGAGAATCAGTTTCACAATGATGTATCTAGTGTTATTATTTTTTCTTAATTTGGTTGGGTTCTGGAGTTTTAAATTTGAGAATCAGTGTCCTGACATTCTGTTTGAATATTGACTCTCATTCTCTCTGTTCTCTGGAACTCTTTAGTTTTTTAGACTTTCTCACTCTGTTATCTCTCTTAACCTCTCATGTTTTCCTCCCCTCACCCCTCTGCTATGTTCTGTGCAATTTCTTTAGACCCACTTCTATTTTTCTAATTATCTCTTTATCTTTATCATTGTGTAGTCTGCTGTTTAACTTCTCTATTGTAATTTGAATTATTACAGTTTTCATTTTTAGAGGTTCCATTTGTATCTTTTAAAGATGATGTTTATAGTGTCTCCACTGTTGGCTATCAAGTTTCTGTATTTGTGTAGGTTTGTTTCTGTGTCCTTTCTGTTTGTTGCTATTTCTGTATCTTTGGCATCTGTACCACACCCTTAATTACTATATCCTTAAAATAAGTCTTGATTAACTTTTCTGTTTTTCTTCAAAATTGTTTTACCTGTTCTTAGGCCTTGGTTTTTTCATATGTATGTAAGAATCAGCTATACTACATTTTATCTTTGTTGTGCCTGGCTTCCTTTTCCGAGCTGCTATTTGCTGTGTCAGTATAAAATCCTGCTATATTGGTGTCTTCCAGCTTTAATAGTTTTGATCTTTGAATTCCCTTAGCAGCTTCTTCTTTATGTTTTCTTTTCCTTCCTCTGTCTTCTTGTCATTTTTTTCTTATGGTCATTACAAAAGTATTTTAAAGCCCTGGCCGGGTATCTCAGTTGGTTAGAGCATCGTTCCGATATGCCAAGGTCAGGGCACATATAAGAAGCAACCAATGAATGCATAAATAAGTGGAACAACAAATCGATGTTTCTCTCTCTCTAACTTTCTCTCTCCTTCCCCCCTCCATCCCTCCCTCACTCCCTCTATCTCTCCATGTCCCTGTCCCTCTCTCGTCCTCCCTCTCTCCCCTTTTCCCCTTCTTTCCCTGCTCTCCCTTCTCTCTCTCTCTCTCTCTCTCTCTCTCTCAATCAATAAATAAAAAAAGTACTTTAAAATTAGTGTAGTATATTGGGGAAGAGAAAGCAAATAATAGAAAACTATATAAAGCAAAAGGTACAAATCCCTCTGATATTAGTTTGCTGAGATCTTTCAGAAATTTTTCTGAACATGTACAAATGTGTGTTTATAAAAGTAAAAATTGTCATATACATACTGTTTTATAGTTTGTTTTTCATTTAGTATTTAAAAATGCATTCTTCTATAGCTGTAACACATTCCTTTTAATGATTGAATTCCTTTTAATTTCATATGTATATACAGTAATTTAACCAGTTCCCTTTTTATGGGTTTGTAGATATCTACCTACTTTTTGATCTTGCAGCTTTCAAATACTGCTGATCCTAATCAGCAAAGTGGAGGTTGTGCAGTTTATTTCACATTACCTAAGGTCTCTCCTCTTAACTCTTTTCAAGGGTATTAGTGGGGTTCTGTCAAGAACTATCTTCTTAGGGCACTGGCATATACTTTTCTTAAGAGGGAAGAGTTGATAGTTAAGCTTGGTATAAACCTTTAGTTTGGTGCTATGTGTATTTTACTAAAAAGAAGTACTCAAAGGTGTTTGTTTGTTACATGTGGTATCCTAGAGGAGATTGTTTGTGGTGTAGTGTTAGAGGTAGCACCCAGATTGAAGAGTACAGAAATGAATGAGAAAATGGAGATGGAGAGCTTAAGCAGGTCTTTGTCGCAACTTGACTAGGCGATGGTAGGGGAAGAAGAGAGGCAGTTCTTAGCATTTTGTTTTTTGTCGGTATTTTGCCTTTTGAAAGAAGTTGAAGTTGGATCTCTATGTTATGTAATTTGCCATTTTCTTAATTTTCCTAGCCTCCACCAGGCAATGTGAAAATGCCCAATGTACCCAGTACACAACCAGCAATAATGAAACCAACAGAGGAACCTCCACCTTATACACAGATTGCAAAGGTTAGTTCATGTTACATTTGCAAATTCATATGGAAATTACAATATCAGTATCATTTACTTCCAGAGCTAAATAATTTTTTAATTGTTGCATTCCATATTGTTTACTTTTTAACTTACTTTTGAGTCTAGGTTAGCCACCTTGTAGACTCTATAATGCTCACATGTCTTTTTCAGCTTATAACATTTGCTTTATTCCATGATTAGCAATTATTGAATTTATTACCTTGGTATACAGTTTTTATAGTGAAAATTTTATTGCCTTTGGTATCACTTTTTAATACACAATGCCATTACAGTAACAATGACAGAATAATAAATATTACTGGAAGAGAGAGTTATAATGGCTAAGCAAGAGACATTGGTAGGAATATGAGAAAAATACAAGATAAAAGTAGATGACTAGGAATGCTGCTATCACATAAAGGCAGGTGGAGTTATAGATCACAATTTCTGAACCATGTCCTTTCATGCCATTATTTTATAAAATATAAGATGTTATGAGTTCTTGCATTGAGAACCTTATATGCCATTTAATCCAATTCATAAGAGTCAATTCAGTTGCTCTTTTCTCCATTTGTCTGTTTTCCTCAACACTTTCCTTTGTCTTTGTTATTCACTCATTTAGGCACAGAGGTGACATCAGCTTATTTTCATTTTCCTGATTACCTTAGGACTCTGACCACTCTTAGGATTTTTTCTGTCCTAATGTGCCCAATATTCCCATGAAGGTTTTCATAACCAAAAGATCAAATGGATCAAATATCTATATAATATTTTCTGAAACTGAAATCTTCAGTAAATTTCTATACTTTGGAAGAACATTTGAATTAGGTTTCTAGCATAGTAGAGGGAGAAGAGATAGCATATCAATGTTTCAATATTTTATGCTTATGACAGCCTATTCACTTACTATTTTTTGTGTAGGAACATGCTTTGGCCCAAGCTGAACTTCTTAAGCGCCAGGAAGAACTAGAAAGAAAAGCTGCAGAATTAGACCGCCGAGAACGAGAAATGCAAAACCTCAGTCAACATGGTAGTATCCAAGATGCTTGAAATAAAAATAACTTTAAACACTTTAAATAATGTCTGCACTGGCTCTAGGTCATTTGGTTTGTGAATAAATTTTGCCCTGTTTTCCATTCTAACAAGGAGATCAGACACAGCCGATATTCTACTTGATACTGTGTAGCTCTTTGAAATTGGCTGATTTGCATAGTCTTTTGATAGATTAGAACAGTGTTAGCCTTATCACACAGAAAGTGAATTCAAATATGATAATTTTGGTTTATTCTAAGGCCAGGAACCTTTGATTATGCACTTGAACTGTCTTTGCTTCTAATGAAATTTTACGAGTACATGGGAATGTGCCCTACATTTGACTCTTCTAGTTTAGTTAGCCTACCAGTATTTTCAAATGATTTATCCCTGTCCTCACAAGTATTTTGTATCTGTTAAATCATGTGAAAGAAATAAGTTTGTGGTGACTCTAGAAAATTTAGGGTATTTTTATGATGCCAAAGAAATAAATAAATGCTGACTTGATTATTAGCTATGAAATCTACTCAGGCTATTATTACCAAAGGCCACTTCAAGGGAGTATTTTAGGGAAAGCTAGCAGTCTCTGGGTATGAAGGGATAAGAGAGCTAGACAGGACTTGAGTCATTGTTAGTATGTCTGGGATAGTGATGGGATGACAAGACTAGGACAGCAATAATAAATTATCTGTTTCTTATCTTAGAATGTGTAAATCCAGGGGCTCCTGTGGATACATTTATTATGGGCCATTTTCTTATTTGCAACATCAGAGACATCTCTAAAAGGAGAAACTAAAGGTGTAATTGAGATCAACGTTTCTGAAATACCTATAACTAAAAGCTATCCTATTTCCTTAGCATTGAATAATACAAGTTATTTCTATGAGAGATATTTTAGTAAGGGTTGTAATGAAGAGTGGGAAATTAAGAGTTAGATTTGTAGTATGTTATACATTTAATCCTCAATACAGTTCTCTGAAGGGTGGTATAGTTGTTATTCTCATTTTTCAGATATAGAAACACAGTCTTTAGAAGCTTAAGTAAGTTGCCCAAGGCCTCCTAGACAGTAAGTGGTCAGGCACGTCTGGTTTCAAGTCCTGTTCTATACATTCGTGCTCTGTTGCATCTCAAATAGTGTGAGACTTGTATGAGAAATGCATGAACTACATGAAATTAGAAAAGAATGATAACAGTGGAGACATGTGTGGGAGGATCAGAAATAGGTCATGCTTTTTTCTGCTATGAAATTTTTTCTGGTCTGTAAAATCTAATTTTAAAAGGTTGTGAGATTATCATATCTAAAATGATAAAATGGCCTTTAGATGTTATTTTTACTCTCTATATTTAATGTTTGACTTCTTGCTTTAATTTTATATTTTCCTTACTGTTTCCTTATTTTCAGTCTAATTGCTTTATATAGACCCTTTACCTTCCCCCTTCACAGTTTGAATTTGTTTTTTCTCTAGGTTTTTGAAGGTGCTATAATTCCTTAGCGTCTTTCTCATGACTGTTTCATGTTTTCTTATAGTTTTGTAATTTACTTATATGTCTTTTGGATTTTTTTTGAGACTTTGGGATTTCTGAATTTGATACTTTTGGTATTGGTTAATCTTGTGGTTTTTTTTTTTCATGGAGTTAACAGTAGAAAATTCCAAAGATTCAAAAGCTTGGTCTTCCCTCTCCACATGGGTTAGAAATTATATTTAAAGACATAAGACACTGAGGAAGAAATTGTAGAGATTTAAAAACTTCATGACCTGCATGTGAGAGCCAGACTCTTGGGACTTTGAAAGAAATTTTTTAGGGCAGAGTCACAGGGTATGTGTCCCTATGCTCTTTTTCCTTTTCTCATTTCAACTGTGCATAAATGGTTCCTGCTAAATATTATATGACCCTGGAAAATTATTTTACCATCCAATGCTTTAAAGGATATAAAGACTGACTTTTAGAGTTCTCCAAGAATGTAAAGAATATAGTGTTGTATTTGTAAAACACCTATTAAAACAATAGATATTGTTCTTAATTCTGAAACCAAAAATAAGAATAGCACATATTTGTCCTAATATAAATAACTTTTTTTTTTTAATTTTGCAGGCAGAAAAAATAATTGGCCACCTCTTCCTGGCAATTTTCCTGTGGGACCTTGCTTCTATCAGGATTTTTCTGTAGACATTCCTGTAGAATTCCAGAAGACAGTAAAGATTATGTACTACTTGTGGATGTGTGAGTACAGAATAAATTACATATTCAATAAATTTTATATTTTATTGTCAAAACTCACTTTTTTTGGAACTCATATTAAGGATAGTATCATTAATTGGTCTTTTTCTATAGATCTAATTTTCAGAGTGAAATATATATTTGGGTACTTCAAAATTGTACTATATGTGACAATCTAAGTTCTTAGCTGAAGAAAACCTATATATTAAGAATTGGCATTCTCTTGAGGAAAGGTCTTTTCTGTTACATAGGTAGAATTTTGCAGTTATTTCTTTTCCTTGAAAAATCTTCTCTGGGCAATATTTACTTTGAAAAAAGTAGGCATACATTTTTATGTAAATGAAGGCCATTAAACATTCTATTAAAGCATTATGACTATTTTTAAAAGGGGCTTAAAATATTATAATATTATAAACTTATTTTTCTTATAGCTTTGAGTACAATTTATACTTCATTTTCAAGTGGGGATGAATACTAATATTATTTAAAGTACCTAATTAATATAGGAGGTTTTATTGAACAGGACATTAGGACATACATTTTAGGTTATGATGCTCACATTGCTTTGAGTATAATTACAACTCATGGTATACCATAATAAAATGTCAAGCTGTTAATAGTTTGCTGTATGTACACAGAATTTCCACTTACTCTGTTTCATTTTCATTCCAGTCATCTCAGTCCCATTTAATATCATCATGTCAGTAGGAGAGGTAGCTGTCACAACTTCTCACCTGCACAACCTCTGGGTTGATGGATAATTTGTAGGGCGCATTCTTGATGGAGGAAATTTGTGTGTTTTTACTGTATGATCAGGGAGCTTTTCCCCCCTTCAAATATGAGGTAATTTTCCTCAAAATCTTTTAGGAGCATTCTTTATATAATGTGAACTTGCTCTGGAATGTGAGAAATGATTCCTTATGGATAGTACATTTTCAACCCTCATTTTGGGTTTGTGTTTGTTGTTGATGTAATATATTTTGCTGAATCCCTAGTATCAGCAAGGATTATACTAGTATATTGTTAACATTAAAGGTTTTGATTCTGTGTATGTACATGCTAACCAACTCATATTTTATTTAATCAACATAATCATATACATGCAAATATGTAATAATTATTTTTCAATGGGCAGAAATTGGCTTAGCATTTTAGGTATATGTTCTTTGGCTTAGTGAAAAACATATTTTGATGGTGGAGATGGGGGTTGGAAGAAAATTCAATAAGGAATTTAGTAATAGAAATTGAGTGGGGAAGATGATTAATTTTAACCCAATGACTAACTGGTTTCCCAGTGCCAATTTGTTTAAAGTGGGTCTGTTTTGTCTTAGAAATATATAACTTTCTGAGGTTCTTAGAAATGATATAGTTGGCTATAGTTTTTCCTAATCCTGTTCAGTTGGCAGATCTGTTAACTGTATTCAAACAGGGTCCAAGATTCCAGTTAAGGTTCTTATTTGAAGAAGCGTTAATCTGGAACAAAGTGAAATCTAGTACCAGCTCAGTAATGCCTCTAAATTTCATAGAATAGAAGTATTTAAATAAGTTCTTTTTAAGAAGTGTCCACTTGTTACTGATTTTAGAGTTGACTAATGCTTTTACACTGTAATGATAATTACAATGAGCTAACATTTATTGAGGATTTACTTTGTGCAAGGCACAATGATAATCACTTTTATGTACATTGTGTTATTAAATTGTAACCACACTATGAAGCAGGTACTATATTACTTAGATTTATAGATAGGGAAACTAAAGGATAGAGAATATGAGTTACTTGTCAAAGATTACACAGGAAGGAAGGTTGGAGTTGGATCGCTTGACTCCAGAGCCCAGAGTCTAGAGTTACATGTTATACCACCTTCAGAGTACCAAAAATGAAGAAGTAATTGACATTTTAAACCCAAATACGACAGATATGCTTTCAAACATACCTTACTTAAAGTGCTTAGTAAAGCAAATTGAAATTTTATATGAAGAAGAGTCATTCAGCTTGCAAATGAGGTCAACAAAATGGACTAAATATTTCATTAGTATTCTACCTACATTTGGAATCCAACAAGTGGTTTGGAATTGGATAGAAATTAGCAACAAAGTCATTCATTTCACATTCCCTTGCCTTTCTGTGTGTGTTTTGATCTCTATAAAGTGGACCAATTGTTTAGTAAGTAGGCCTAAACATTTTACTCTTCATTGGAGTGCAAATAAATGACTTTTTGAGTATAGTTGTTGGTTACTGTAAAAACACTTTGAAAAAGATCTTAATAGATTACACAAACTTAAATTGATATCTTTTATCTAAACCTGGAAGAATTTCTGTAAACTTTAAAATACTCATACCCATATATTTTCTTTTTTAAATAGATTAGTAGATAAACCTTTAAAAATTATTTATCTAAAGGCTGATATTTGACTTAGAACAGTGATGACGAACCTATGACACGCATGTCAGGGGTGACACGTGAACTCATTTTTTTGGTTGATTTTTCTTTGTTAAATGGCATTTAAATATATAAAATAAATATCAAAAATATAAATCTTTGTTTTACTATGGTTGCAAATATCAAAAAATTTCTATATGTGACACGGCACCAGAGTTAAGTTAGGGTTTTTCAAAAGGCTGACACGCCGAGCTCAAAAGGTTCGCCATCACGGTGCTGTCCTCTCCTCTGTTTTTACTCTTTTTACTTATGCTCTCCCCTCTGTCTGAAGTTTGGTTGATTCTTTGTTAAATGGCATTTAAATATATAAAATAAATATCAAAAATATAAATCTTTGTTTTACTATGGTTGCAAATATCAAAAAATTTCTATATGTGACACGGCACCAGAGTTAAGTTAGGGTTTTTCAAAATGTTGACACATCGAGCTCAAAAGGTTCGCCATCACTGACTTAGAATGTTCTGAACATTTAATACTTTTTAAGGCAGTTAGATGCCATTTTAGTGTTACAGAGTAATAATTTTCTATCTCACAATCTTTTCAATTCTGTTTTTAAGCCCTCCTTAACAGAACTACTTTTATTTTGAGGCAAAATATTTTGAGTAAATTTGTTAATAAGGAAGCTTTCATGAGAATTAGAAATCCTAATGGGACTAAAGTACTCCCTCTGTCCCATAATAATAGTAGCAGTTGATGAATGTAATTTGTCCCATAATAATAGTAGCAAAAGAAAATAAATATAGAATGTAACATTTATTATCAAAAAACTAGATTAAATTAAACAATAAATTAAAAATAGTACTCCTAATTTTTATTTTGAGTGTTCAGATAGTTTCTGGATTTTTCAGTAATTTCGTTACTGCATTTTAAACTTGTAGGTAGGATCCCTTGGCTGCGAAGCTTTGCTTTCCCTGTATGCATGAGCTTAAAATTATTGGAGCCATCGTTCTTCATTGCTTCCAGCATAACTTGTTGAAGTGACAGAAACGTATTATCCAGTATTTTGGGAGAAATATTATCAAAGGCTAATATGGTGCCTCTTCTGCTAAGAGGAATATGTCTAAGTTTTTCAAGTTTTTCTCCATAATCTTTGCATTTA